GGTTTAGAAGGCTTTCTCATATGTAATATATTGTTATGGTCAAATAAGCTATCTGGAGACAGCATTTCAGTTATGATTTTGATGGGCATTATCCATAATATCTATTTGTTCACCAGTGCCTATAGTTTAGAGTCTAAAACACAAAGGATTCTTAATAGGTATTTTTTTTTTTGAATGACTGAAAAAACAGACAGGAACCATGCAGCTAAAAATACAGAGTGTCACAGCCTTTGCAAAGGACCCATCTGAGAGGTTTATGTTGACAGACTGGTGAGATGGATGGGATATGTCACGGTTCCGTGTCTGTTTCCCCAAGGGAAGAAGTGGTTACACAGGACACAAGTTCTACTAGGGCCTGTTGGAACATTTGGGTGGAAGTTGTCAAAAACATTTCTCAGAGCTGTTTTCTTCTCTGTATTTGAAGATCAGCCTGGTAGCAAATATGAAGGATCTGTAGGGGCAGCTCTGTTGACCCTTGTGGTGGTAGAATATTTTCTTTGCTTATTAAGTGAATGACTTCTATCCAAAATCAGGTCTGTCACTACAACTTCCATTGAATCTGCAAAGGCATTGGATTATACTTGCTCTTTTATATTGTGAAAGCATATTTTTAGTGACAGTTTATCTACATTGTTGTGTTCACAATCCCTAAATAGGACAGTGAAATAAATGAATCAGAAATATCATAACACCCAAACCTTTGTCTCCTGAATTCCATTCTAGATCTTTCTTGAAAACTGAAGTCAGAGGAAGTAGAATAAAAGATCATGAGCCACATCTCTGGCCATAGCTGAGGTTGGTTTCAGATGGATGGTCGGTGGGTCAGAGTTAACTGTGTTTATCTCTGTGAGGTCTGTGGGTCTCCAATGGTGAGCAACATAATGTTAGTCAAACTGTTACGGAGTAATAATTATGTGAAGTCACATACTGTGATTTCATGGGTGTTATCACTTGGGGTGAGGTCATAGTGTTAGCATATGTTAAAAATGAGTCGACTTAAAGACAACAGTAGGTAGGGGCGCCTGGGTGGAAAGACAACAGTAAGTAGGGGCGCCTGGGTGGCTCAGTCGTTAAGTGTCTACCTTCAGCTCAGGTCGTGATCCCAGGGTCCTGGGATCGGGCACCAAATCGGGCTCCCTGCTCGTCGGGAAGCCTGCTTCTCCCTCTCACGCTCCTCCTGCTTGTGTTCCCTCTCTCTCTGTGTCTCTCTCTGTCAAATAAATAAATAAAATCTTCAAAAAAAAAAAAAAAAGACAACAGTAGGTAAATAGTAGAACAGCTGTATGCAGCTAGAGCTGAACTGGTAATGGAGAGAGCTCCCATTTAGTGAGTTATGTGTTGGGCATGGTTCTAAGTGTCTTACATTATGTAACTCATTGAATCCTCCCAACAGCTCAGTGAATTAGGCAGCCCTGAGGCTTGGTGAAGTTAAACACAGCCAGTACTGAGCTGAGACAGAATTTGAATGCAGGCAATCTGACTCAAGAGTATGAGCTCTAATCTCTGCCCATTACCACCTCTCAAACAGAAAATAAAATAATAACACAGACAATAAAAACAAAGCCCCCGGGGGCGCCTGGGTGGCTCAGTTGGTTAAGCGACTGCCTTCAGCTCAGGTCATGATCCCAGGGTCCTGGGATCGAGTCCTACATCAGGCTCCCGGCTCAGCGGGGAGCCTGCTTCTCCCTCTGACCCTCTCCCCTCTCATGCTGTTTCTCTCCTGCTCACTCTCTAATAAATAAATAAATAAATAATCTTTAAAAAAAAAAAACAAAGCCCCATTTTGCCTGGTAACCTGAGACCCAGCTCCACACATTGGTGCACTGTGGGAACCTGACTGGGCCTCTGTTTTCATATCTCTAAAATGGGATCAGGCATTCTGATGAGGGAGAGGCATTCTCTGAGGCAATGTGTATTGGTCCAGATTTGCCACGTGACCTTGAGCCAACCCCCCCCCCTTTCTGGGGGTTTGGCTTCCATGACAGTCTCCCCAGTGTCACCCATGGCTCTGTTTTGTGGAATCCAACCCTCTGCTTGGCCTTAGGTAGCATCCAGTGCTGGCAACCTCAAGGCCCAAGGGCACCCACTTTTTTACATCCCAAGTCGAGCAGAGCCTCGCCCGACAGCCTGAGCTTTTGGGGCTGAATCCCACTGGCACCAGAATATCCCTGAACAATTAAGCGAGAGGGTGACACAATCAGATTGGGTTTTGAGGAGGTTTCCTCTGGCTGCTGGGTGGGGAACAGATTGGAGGCCAGCCAGGGTGGAATGGGAGAGAACAGGAAAGCCATCGTCACAGACGTCCAGGCAAGAGATGGCTTGAGCCACAGAGCTATGACAGATGCCAGTGGAGTCAGAGAAGACTTAAAGGTAAATTCGGGAGAGGTTTTGTGTTCAAGTAGAAGCTGGCTATGCGAGGAAATGCTGAGATTTCCAGCTTGCTGCCTGGGAAGATGGTGATACCCTTCACCTGTGGGAGGCTTGGCTGGGAATCCTTCCCTCCTGCACAGTGCATTTTAGAGAGGCCTGGCATCTACCTTCTTTTCCTTAATATGGAGGAAGAACCGTCCAAGGACACAGTTAACTGCTCCATCCCTCACCACTAGTAGTTATCCTCCACAGAGCATAATGGGCTCCTGCTGGGGCTTAATGTGGTCATTCCTCTTGCAGGGGGAGAAAGCCTCCAGTCACTGTTTTAGGACACACACAGTGCAAATTGACTCAAGAGGCTCTAGAGGGAAGGGAGCTGGGGCTCCTCCAGGAGACTGGTCTATGCAGTCACTTTCCTGAAGGAGACTCTGAGCTCCCTAAAGCAAGTGTGGTGTTCCTCTGACCCCCAGTGGCCCCTGGCAGTGTAGAAAGGGGCAGTGAAGGAGGTGTAGGGGGGTCCTAGGAGGGGAGGTGCTCACAAGCCTTTTTACACCTCGGCGGTGGTATAGGGCTTGCTGCAAATCCACTGTTTGCTCTCATGGTTTGAAAGAAAAGGACAACGAAGTCAATTCTGAAAAAGAAGAAAGAGGTCTGATCAGAAGGGTAGCCAGTTGGATAGTAGAGTGAATTATGGCTCAGCCTGGGTCAGGACTTAGTTTGTGTATCTGCACACAAGAGCAGACTACAGTTGCTGCCACACACAGTTTGTCCACGGAAGCCCAGGCAGGAATAGCCCACCTTGTCCCTGATGGGTCTGACCTCATGGCCCCAGTGTGGACCGGGGGATGCCTGTCCTGCTCTTGACACAGCCCCTTGGTTCTTGGGTTCCAGGTGTCCTGGAGATAGGTATCCCCGGTTCTGGCTCCTGCAGTAGTTGAGAAAGAGCTCCAAGGTGGCCCCTAGTGCCACTGTAGCCTAAGGCTCAGTTTCTCTAGTCCTGATATCCCCTACCCTGGCCATGCTTCTCCCTGAGGTAAGAACAGTGTCCCTGCCCACATGAGGCCTGGGCTAACATTGGCCCAGCCACTCCAGCAATTGGATGCTCCCTCCTCTCCTCCAGTCTGTCCATCCATCCATCCATCCGTCCATCCATCCATTATTCCTGCACCTCGTTGTGGGATTCCCAGAGGGCAGAAATAAGTATTTGATTAGAATTTAATAAGACCGGGGTACCTGGGTGGCACAGTTGGTTGACTATCTGACTCTTGGTTCAGCTCAGGTCGTGAGATTGAGCCCCGCATCAGGCTCCGCGCTCAGCATGGAGTCTGCTTGAGATTCTCTCTCCCTCTCCCTCTGCTTCTCCTGCTCGTGCTTGCTCTCTTTTTTTTTAAAAAAAGAATTTAGTAAGACCAAATGCCTGGATTTTGAGTATGAGCAGAAATTTTGTGAGAAGTTGTCTGGGACCACATTGCCCATGGCAGGAGAGAGCTATTGAAGGTTTCCAAGTAGGAGAGGAGCGTGGCCTGATGCCTGTTGTGAAGCAACCACTCTGCTGGGTGGAGAGGGAGACCCGGAGCAGGGAGCAGAGCAAGGAGGTGGTTGTCATGGGGTTAGAGCCTCCTCCGTGGGGATAGTTTTGAAGTCAGAGAAAGGAGGGTTCTTCTACTCCAGGTTGGTTTGTCACATGCTGCTTCTCCTGGAAACTTCCCTGTGCTGTCACAGAGCTCCTTCTCCTCCTGCTCACAGCCTCAGAGCAGTCCTCTCTGACCTGTCCAAACAGTTCCCCCTTATTATTCCTTCTTCTCCTTCACGTATCATAATTTATGCTCGTATATTCGTGGTTCCTTTTTTGAAACAGGGACCGTGTCTGCTTTATTTGCCACTGTGTTACCCTCTGCCTATCTCTATGCCTGGCATAAAGCAGGCAATCAATAAACATGTATTGAATAAGTGTGGTTAATTAATTAATGGCAATGCCTAGGTCATAGTCATAGTCGTATACATATGAGTTTGTTATCTCACCTGTGCAAGCATTGATCCTCACAGCACCAGCCAAGAAAATGAAATAGGTATCATTATCCCCCAAGGTGGAAACTGATACCCTGAGTTGTGTCTTGTCCATGATCTAGCTGATGACAAGGCAGGGACCAGGGTCTAGAATGCACATCCTGGAGCGTACTGCATCACTGCATCCCTCATTCAGGCCCAGAGGACATGGCCACCTTGGGAACGGACTCTGCTGCCTGACCAGGCCAGTCCAGACTGCCGGACCAATCAGATTGAACATCTCTTGCCCTCACAGTAATTATTTGTACCCTCCAGCATCACAGCCTGCCTCGTATCTAACAGAGAGACAGGTCTGTCTTAGCATGTGTAAGGGCACTTAGGCAGCAAAGAGCATGGTACATTCAGGGAACTACGAGGAGGCCAGGATGGCTGGAGTGGGAGCATGTAGGGACAGTTGGGCTCGTGTCTTACTCAGTTCTAGGTCCCCATGGAGGGCAGGCATGGAGCTTTGCACACGGAGCACTCATTAATGGCTTGTGGCATTAATAGGGCCCCTGGTGTATTCACTTTGCCTTTGCTGGACAAGGAGCTCTGACCCTCTCTTTCCTCTGCTCTGACCCCAGCGCCTACACAGAACCTTATAAGGTCTGCCCCATCTCGGCGGCAGCCCCCAAAGAGGACCTATCATCGGATGAAGAACAGGGAAGCTCGGAGGAGGAGGAGAGTGCTCCAAGAGACCCCAGCCTCACCCACAAGGTAGGGTGCCCCGCCGTGGGCAAGGGGCCAGTGGGTTGTGGGGAGTCAGAGATGTACAGGCCGAGAAAGGACGGTGATGACCAGCGTACCCCCTGTTGGTGAGGAGGGAGCTGTTTCCCAACGGCTGGCCCCAGGTTGGATACAGAGGCCGAGTCACGGCACAGCTGAGGCTGCAGCGGTAAGAAGCATGAGGAGACACGGGGCCCTGCACTGGTGATGTGGGGTGAATGCTCCTGCTGACTTCTGGGTCTCAGGAAGTTTGGGGCTTCCCAGAGCCCTTGGGGATGAAGTGAAATAGAACTGCATGGTTTGGATCAAGACAGACCTGGATTCTAATAACCTCAGGCATCTGGACCTCAGTTTCCTCATCTGTGAAGTGGGAATCATGAGGACAGTTAAGGGAAGTGTGTGAGTTTCATTAACTGAAGACCGTTTTGGAATGAAAGTTGGTTTCCCATACCCTGTGGTGGTGCTTAGGGGCTGAGAGAAGAGCTGTTGTTTGTCTGGAGGCAGACGGTGAGTTGGGTCCCTGGTGTAGGGACCAAGTCACAGTGGCAGCCCAGACCTCTTAGTGGGCACTGGGGCATGGTGATAATTATATATGCTCGCCTAGGGTGCATGGGAGCCTGTGCCTCACTTCCACTCGCTGGCTTATTGTAGTCCTTCCACACACTGCTTCTTGGAGCTTGGGTTTGTCCCGAAACAGAGAAGTGAAGAACTTGCCTAGGATCATACGGCTGTTACTCCGTGTCATCCAGCAAACACCATGAGGTGCTGGGGGCCAGGAATTTAGACCCCGAGGGACACCCCAGCTGCAGGGAGACAGGCTAGGGAGGTTGAGACCAGCTTGACATTTCCCCCACCACATCTTCTGGGCCCCACCTGTCTGCAAAGGAGTAGCTGGGGAGGCCAAGGAGCATCACCTCCTACCTGACTAGCCTCCTTCGGGCACCTCATCTGGTGTCTGTCTCCCACTCTTTGTCATCCTCTCCTTCCAAGGCTGGCGTAGGCGTATCACGCTGATTAAAGACTGCTCCTGCGAAGCGCTCAGCAGAAGTGCCTGGCACTTGCCAAGCTTTGTCTAAATGGTCAGATCTTTCATTTTGTTTTCATACCCTTGATTTCAGTTCATTTATCTCTCTGCTCAGGGTCTTCATAAAGTTCCCCCCCCCCAGGGCTGTGGGAATGCTGAAAGGGGTTTTCCCACCCAGCTCCTCTTCAGTCCTTCGCCCTTGTGGCTTCTGACCCTTCCTCTCCGTCTCTGGATAGAGTGTATTGTCTTCCGCAATCCATGCCTCTTTCACTCCTTGCAACCAGTTCAAGGTCGATACCACCACCCCTGTGGTGTGGTGGTAGACACAGAAATTAAGTAAATTGCCCAAGGCCACTCTGCTAGTGATTGAAGGGGTTGGACTCAAAACCAGGTCTGGCTGGCTCCAAGCCCTGTGTTTGTTTGTTTGTTTGTTTTCCCCCTGTAGCCCTGGAAGACTTCTCTTACCTCTCCACTTCTTGTCCTCTCCCCCAAAAGAACTGTTGCCTCCTTGAGGGCAAGGGAAAGGAGCTTTGAGTTAGTGGTGCCAGTTAGAGATGATTGTGGCTTTTCTGGGCATCCCCTGGAGTCGCGGAGCCTGGGAGCAAAAAGATAGTTGCTATTTGGGATTTGGTCCCCACTCTGAAGTTGGGATTTGGTCCCCACTCTGAAGTTGGGAATTGGGTCTGGGTACCAGGCCAGGAAGAGTTGAAGGGCTGACAGAGCAGTGGGGCATACTTTCTGTATCTCAGGGTCCCCCACCTGGTGCTGGTTCCCCACCATAGCACCAGGTTCTCTGTTAAACCTTCCTCTGGGACCACCTGCATCTCCTCCTCCAGCTGTGTAACCACTGGCCAGTCACTTCCCATTATAGGACCTCAACTTCCCCATCTGTAAAATGAGAACATGAATAGTAACTGGGCTGTGGGAGGGTTGAATGAGGGCACTGATGTAAAAGTGCCAGCATATAGTAGGGGCATAATAACTATCTGTTGTTCCTGTTTGGGAGGCAGAGGGAGAGAAGGGAGGGTCCTGTTTGCTCAGGACCATTGCAAAGACATGAAGTCCTAGGGCCCTGGACATTGGTGGTCATCTGGTTCAGTTTCCCAGCCTTGTGATCTCCAGGCCGCTGCATGGACACCCCCGGGAGCTTGCAGGAGGTGGGGTAGCATAGGGAATGAGAGGTTCAAACTCAGCTTTGATGCTTGCTAGCTGAGTCACTAGCAAATGGACAATTTCTTAAGCACTCTGTTCCTCCGTTTCCCCTTCTGTGAGACTGGGAAAACAATAGTGGTGCCTACTTCACAGTAGTTCTGAGAATAAATAAATATGAGGAGACGAATGCCTGGCATGCAGTAAAACACACAAAGGTCAGAGTGGGTGGGACCGTGGTAGGACAGGGAAGCACCCTGCACAGGGTCCAGTCAAGCTCAGTGATAACGGCAGGGTTGCAGAACTGAAGCAGCTCCTGCCTGGGACAGGGACCCCTCATGTGCCCTGGAACCAGAGCTACAGAGAACCAATCAGTGGCCAGCCAAAGGCAGGGCCCGCTAGCATTCTGTCACTCTGAGAGCACAGACGGAGAAGCGTGGGTGTAGACTCCTCGTGGCTGGTCAGTTCGCCCTTGGGAGCCCAGCCTTCTCACCCAGCAGATGTACTGAGCATCCCTTCCCTTCTGCCCTCGAGGCTTTCGTAATGAACCACAGTGGCAATCACCTTTAAAAATCAAGTTTTCGTTGCACGAGGCATGCTCTGCTGGATTCTCCTCATAAAGTGTGAAGTCATTACAGGTGAGGGTTAGATGCCCTGGGGTACTCATTCCTAGTTCCTGTGTCCCCAAGGAGGTAGCTGTGGTATGCAGTTTGGTGTGTATCTTCCAGAACCTTTTCCCTGTATTCACCTATGTGTATCATTCAGTATGAGTGGAAAATGGATTAGGTATTCTTTGTGGAGTCGTTGTTTACATATGTTGAATCATATCAAACTGTAAGAAACCTGGCGTAACTTGGTTGCATTCACTCACTGGTATCTTACAGAGATTTTTGCATATTGCTACATAGCGTTCTGATTTTTTTTTTAACTGCTGTATGGTATTCCCATTTATGGGTATGCTGTCCTTTGTTTTGCTATCCCCCTGCTGAGGGACCTTTACAGTGTTTCTAATTTTTAGGCTCTACCAACAGTATTACATTGCACTTGTTCACACACCTCCATATGCACATGCTTCTCTCTAGGGTAGATCTCACAAGGGGATTGGTGGCTCAGAGAGGCGCATTTTCAGTCTTCGTACCTGCTGCCACAGTGACCCCCAAGAGGCCGTGACAGTGCACCTCCTCCTGGCAGCCCTCAGTGTGGGAGAGTTCGCCAACTGCTGGGCCATGTGCAGCTGTGAAGGGAGATTTCTGGAGGGAGCAATCTTTCCTGGCTCCTCCTTGCTGTAGAAGTTTGGGTGGTCTGGGGGGTGGGGAGAAGGAGCATTCACTCCTCTTTCTTTCATCTTCCACCGTCTCTGAAAAGTCTACTTCCCCAGAAGGCAAAGACCTCTCCCGCTCTGTGCCTCCGCCACATGGAGCAGGGAAAAGGAGCCAGATTTCCCATTTCCAGCCACCTCCAAGGAGCAGACCTAGGGAAAGTGTGAATGATAGTGGAATTGCTTTTCCCGGGCCTCAGAAGGTGTGTTTGGGGTGAGCCCCACGCTTCCTAGAGTTTGATGTAAAAACAGATGTGAGGTGGTGAGCTCCAGTCTTCCCGATGTTTTGAGGTGGCTGCATCAGAGAGAGACTTGGAGCAGGACCGGAAGCTGAACCCAGCTGTCCACCTGCCTGTCTGAGACAGGTGAGACTTCTCCCTCTCTTCCACTCAGAGATATTCAGGGGGTGTGGGTTAAAGGAAAGAGGGGGCAAAAAAGGAAAAGCAAGAAGGACATAAAAACAGATCCAGCTGTGAAAGGAGACAAAGGCTGTCTTGGCATGTCACTCCTCCCTGACAGCAAGCCCAGTTTTCAGACTAACCGAGACTTTTCAAGCTAAATACCAGCTCCCTGTAGACCAGCCCAGGAGTTCGTGACCTCTCTGAGCCACCTTGTCCCTCCACCTCCTCCTCCCTTTGTCTGAGTCCTGTTGTCACCACGTTTCCCCGACGGGTCCACCCTCGAGCACAGGCCGAAGTTTGCCCTGTCCTCTGGAACAGGCCTGTCCTGCCATGATGCCCTCCCGGGCCCCGCCCAGACAGGTCCTCTTTTCCCTGGCTGCATGCATGGTCCAGGCGGCCTGGTCTGGGCCTTCTTGCTGGCCTCATGCCCCCAGGCCTTGCACCCGCCACCTTGCCCTAACGATCTGCTTGAACCCTGGTTATTTCCACTAGACCAGTCCCCCACCTGGCTGAAATGTTGACACATGCTTTCTCCATGCCAGTCTTCTCAACCATTTTGCAGCCCTGAACATTGGCTCCATGGCATGTGCTCACTCCTCCTAGTCCCTGAGAGGCCCTCCTAAGCCTGCAGAAGCTTCCTCAGGCTGCAGCCTGTTCCTTCCCAGAAAACAACCTTGTCCCCTGGCAAACATGAACTCTCTCCCTTCTGCATCTTCTCTCTGTATCCTCACTCAGTTTCTCCCCATCCCTCTTCTCAGCAGAAATTTATTTACTAAGTACTCACTGAGCACCTACTATGTGCCAGGCACCCTTCCAAGGGCTTAAGATACAATAACCATAAGACAGACCAGGTGCCTCCCTGCCCTGGTGGAGTTTCTACTCAAGTGAAGGAGATGTTCAGTTAGAAGGCTCCTAAGGTGGGTTTAGGCAGTGAAAGTGCTATAGCATCAAACACACAGAACAAACCTTGGTGGTGGGAGCAGGGCGCCAGGGGTGGGACGAGGGGGGAAATTTAGGCGGAGAGGCTAGAGAAGGCTTTTTTCCCAATTAAAAAATTTGTGTTAAAATACACATAACATAAAAACCCACCATCTTGGGG